ACCCCTCTGGCCTCCTCAAAAGGGGCACCGCCTGGACTGCCAGTTGGGGAGGCAGCCGGGAGGGCAGGGCGCACGGACACTCGGACATCCCTTGCAAGGTCCCTGGGAGCGCAGCGGGAGGTCGTGTGGAGGGACAAGACCGGCCCTAAGCTACCCCCTGGGGCTTCCAGGAGCGGCTGCATGTGGCCCAGCCCCTGCCCTACTCCCTCTGACCTGGTGCTTCCACTCTCCAGTCTTCCGTGACCCATGCATGACATGTGGCCCATGTCTCCATGGAAAATTCTGAGAGGCTTTAATTCATTTGAAAAGACAACTCGTGGCCACAGAACCCAGAGAACAGCCTGAGGCAGGTCTGATCAAGGGTCAGAGGGGAGAGAGGAGCCCAGCCCCATTCTTGGTCACCCCCCTGAGGGGCTGTTGGCTCAGCCTTGTCCCTGCCCCAGGCCAGGTGCCCTATGTCCCAGACTTTGATCTCCAGGGCTCTGGGTTAGGGATAAGCCTGGCCCAGGACAGCCATCCCTGTCCCTCGGAAGCCAACTGCGGCACATGTTCCTGATGGAATCTGAGCTCACGCCAGGGAAACAGCTGTGAGAACACACCCAGGAGAATGGAGGTTTGGGGCTCCCAGGTGTGGACCTGGCACAGAGGTCAGCCGCCAGGAAGCAGCATGTGGCTGAGGACAGGACTCCCTGGCCAGCTCTGCCACTCACTGGCTGGGAGAAGTCGGGGGTCGTAGTTCCCTCTGGGGTCCTCAGTCTCCTCAGCTGTAAAATGGGCCCATAGCGTCAACCGCCAGCACAGGGGGCATTGTGAGGACTGGCACGAAGTGGCCCCTGGGGAAATGAGCTGATGTATCTACACCCAAACTTCCCCAGGAGCCAAGCTTCACGAGGGCTGGGCTGCGTCTCCTGTTCCCCGGTCTTTCCTGGCATTCGGGGGGAGTAGTCAGGCCTGCAGGTGGGGTGAGGAGTCAGACTATGTGGGTTAATCCTGCCTTAACCACTTGTGAGCCGGAGCAAGTTTTCAATCTTCCTAAGCCTCTTTCTTCATCTAGAAAATGCCAGCCGAGACACACCCATGCCGTGTGTGTTGGTCCGGGTGAGCAGTGCTAGCTGCTATCGCAGGACCCCACTCTCCAGGGACTCGGGGTGCATGAAGTCACCCCTCCCTCCCACCCCAGGCACCACCACGGGTGCGGAGGCGCTGGAGGGGCCACCCATCTCCCCTCTGGCTCATGGGGTCCAACGGGCCCTCCCTGCACGCTCCGGCCACCAGAGGGCAGGCAAGGACCGTCCGGGCGTCTGGGCGGCCTGCCTGGAAGTGGCCCAGTACTCCTGCCAACGTTCCACTCGCGGCCCCACCTGGATGCAAAGGGGCCGGGAAATGTGGTCTTTCTGTGTGCGCAAAGGAAAACCAAGGGCTGGAGAACACACGGCCATCCTCGCCTCTGCTGGGCCGGGGGCAAAACTTTCAGGAGATAAGCATGTGTACTCTCAGCAGGCGCCAGCCGGGGGCCTGGTGCTGATGCCCACCCTCCCCCCACCCCCAAGCGGCCCCCCACTCCCGTGCACGAAGGATTTAAGGCACTAGAGCAGCCCCAGGAAACCCGGCCTTGCTGAGCAAGCCCAGCCCTCGGAGACCAGCACTCCCCAACTCAGTTCTGTTCTCTGCAGCAACACAGAGCACAAATATTGTTCCTTTTGTTTCTTTTCTTTGGATATATTTTCAACTACAAAAATAGAACTTGATTGTTGTACCCAGACAGATGTTTGCTTGCTTCCCGGCCCCTTGCAGTGGGGGACTGGGCCTCCTCTCAGTGCCGGGCCTTCGACTCCCAACCCCCAGTTCTTGGAGTGTCTTCTTCTAGGTTTGTCTCCAGCTCTGGGTGGGGGGGCTCAGCTCATTCCCGGGACTGGCAGGTTTAATAAGATGGAATTCAGAGTCACAGACTTGGAGAAGGTCCCCTCCCCTACTCCAATGAGGCTGACAGAGGGAGAGCCCCACGAGACCCCACGGTTTGACTGCCCCTGGTAAGGTGGAAAAATAAAAGAAGCCCAAGTGGAAACCAAACCAGAAAGCCAGGCAATTCAGGAGGGCTGGAGCCCTGTTCTCTCCCAGCCGTGTGGACTTAGCAGCTGACCCAGAAGTCTCCGTTGCTTCCCCTGTAAAATAGGACGACAGCAGCCGTACCCTACGAGGACCATCTTGAGGGTCGAACAAGGGGTCCACAGAAACCACCCTGTGCAGCTCTCGGCTCTGGCTAAGGGCTGGGGGTGGGCCGTTTCCCCCAGCCCGCCCTCCTAGACGGGGAGCCTGGGTCTCCTAACCTCTCGGGAGAGCCTGGGGGCTACAAGGTCACTACACATTGTGGCCCTGTGCTCATGGTTTCCCAGGAGGCCAGCGTGGCCCTGGCACAGGGGCCAGACAAGAAGGGCCCTGCCTCCTGCAGACCCAGAAAAGTTATCAGCCCTGTTCGAGGGGCTCATGGGGCCTAGGGGGCTCCATCAGCTCCACTTTATTGTTCTGAAGAGAAAAAATTACAACGTCTGTGCTTGTTATGGGGAAGTTAGGAATACTGTGTACAGAAAAGAATAAGAAATCAACACAAATCATTGCCTTTGGTCCTATCGAGAGCCAAGAGGAGCACCCACCCTGTCTCTCACCAGGGTTGACACCCTCTCCTGTTTACTTTGCCCCCCCCCCACTTCAAACCTCACCTCCCTGAGACCCAGAAGACCTCCTGGGACCATATTTGCATGTTATCAAAGCCTCCCATCCATGGGGTGTCCTGGAACCCTCCTGAGGGGTAGCCAGGCTGGTTGGGGCTGGGTCTGCCTCAACTTCCTTCCCTCCCTCCCAGAAGGCTCGCTCACTGGCTCTCGAGTTTATGCTGGGCAGGGGCTGGGAGCTCAGGGCTCTGCCAGACCCTCCAACAGGTGCCTGGCAGTCCCCCTCTCCACTGCGCTGTTCCTGGCTGGTGGAGGGGCTCAGGCGTTTTCTGGGCTCCCTGCCCCATGACAAGCAGAGCAAAAGGAAGGCGGCAGAAAATAATGGTCTCCCGAGTCTGGCCCCTCTGGGATAAGAGCCGTGTGAGTCCAGGGGGGCTGTACTACGAAGCGCCGTGGGTGGGGGACGGGCACGGTCCTTCACAGGCCCTTCTCCTGTGACCCCAGGCAGGTCCTTTCCTTTTATCCTGCACAACAGCCTCCAGCCAGCTTGGGCAGGCAGCTCCCAAGCCTGGAGTGGCCTTACCCCAGCCTGAGGGGAACTGGGCCCCCGGTTTGTGGCACGATGGACATAGTCCAGTAGGGGCTCACCCTGTTTCCCATCTATTGTGCAGGCTGGGCCGGCAGGGCGGGACCCCACAGATCCCAGCTCCAGACCCCAGTTCCAGGGCGCTAAGGGCAGGCTGTCAAGGTGTCCCCCACATCACCCTTCGGGTAAAGAGGAGAGCTGACCCCGCACCCCGTCCCCGCTCCAGGGCCATAGGGCCGGCAGGTGTGTTAGGGCTCCAGGTGCGGGGACCCTCGCAGGCGCACCAGCCCGGGCACAGCAGGGAAGACCCCCTCCGCTCGTGCCAGGGGCGAACTGGCAGCGGCGCGTTAAAGTCCCGTCGGCCGGCGCAGGAGGCCCGAGGGCGAGCGCGGGTGGCAGGGCTGGGCGTGCGGGGTCCGGCCCCGGGTCGGCGAACGGGGCCTGGCCGGACG